CCTACAATTCAACAATGGTTCTCCAAACTTTGGGATTTTTAAAATTTCAAATGAAACTACCTTTTCATCCCTCGAACCTTCCTACAGAAATATATAATTAAAATGCTGTAGCTGTATGGTTTCCTTTAATTAGATATATGGCAGAAAACAATATCATACTTAACAATCCTCTGTATCAAGAGATGATATATTTTTAGTTGGTTATAACTGTATAATTTAAAAATTGATGAGATATCTGTGATAACTTTCGGAAACAATACGGAAGGTTTTGTTTTTGTTAATGTTGATGATTGATTTTTTTAAAAAAAAATTAAATTAAAAAAAGTTCAGTAAGTACTCAGATAGTTACTGTTCCATTTTCAAAATGATATTCTACTCGCTATTTTTTTTAAGAAAAATTGTCTTTGGATTCCATTTAGGATCCCCCCACGGACACATTTTTAAACACAAACGTGACGAGTCTTTCCGGTCTTCCGCTTTTGCAAGGAACTTACCTGCTGCACCATGACGAATATTCGTTTTCCGACGACCTGTGTTTCCCAGCGGGCCATGTCATGTGTGAAAAAGCCAGCACGGATACAATACACTACGAATCGGAAGATCCCTCACACCATCTCTTGAGAGCGAGGCAGAAAACGGCCACCTTCGTCAGGTTCCCACGGAAGATGAGTATTTGGACAGAATTCCCCAAGGCCAGACTTACTTTAAGCCTTTACGGAGTCAACCAGACAGTACACCTCCATTGCTGTTCTCGGAGCCCCTGGAAGTAGAAGAGAACGTTAGTTTAAGTCAGTGCTTTGTAGGAACGGAAAGCCTGGTGGAATTGTCGGACTGCTGCTGCTCCGACGTTTCGTGTGGAGCGGACCTTTCCCGTGCTTCCTCTGACAAAGGCCCCCTGCCTTCTTGCTATCGCTGCAGCTGTGACGACACGGGGCACATCGAGAGCCGAGACACAGGTGGCTCCCTGCCAGCACCCACGGTGACAAACAGCTGCCCTGCCTGTGGCATATCGTCTAGAGAATCTCCCAGGAAACCTGGCAACACTGCAGATTCTTTAAAACAGAGTGGACCTTCCCCACAATGCACCTGTGGCTTGGACTCTTCCTCTGGAAACCAGAGTGCCCCGACAAGCGGTCCTAGTGCCGCAGGTGAGCCATCTGATGGAACCCAGGCAAAGCACCAGAACGCAAAAAGAGACAATGCCGGATCAAACGGCAGCGCTCCAGATCCTCCAGTGGCATCTGGTGAGTTTCCAAACAGAGGGCCTTTTGCTGTTTGTGCGCTGTTCCACACCTGTCCTCACTGTGGTCTGCTTGTTAATGTCTCTGAGGCACCGCTGGTCTATATGGGAGTCTGGTTATGTTCTGCTGCAGTTGGGTTCTGTTTGTTGCCCTAGATGCCAAAGAGAGGAATCTTTTTCCCTCTCTCTTTTTAGTTTCGTGTTGACAGTGCACCGTGTTTTGTGTTGGCACCGTGTGGGAGGTTCGGCCACATGATGACCTCTGAAGCTCTCCTTCTTGCATTGTTTGTTGAAAAACAGAGGGGGAAAGACGGTGCCCAGCAACCTCTCAGAGACAGCAAAAAGGGCAGAATGGGCGAGCAGAGGGACGTTTTCCTGATCTTTTCCCCAAATACAAAAAAAAACCCCCGCCCTATATTTCAAGCCATGAAACTGCTGCTGAGAACTTTGACCTCAGCCCTAATTCTTATTGGTCCATCTTACTGGTGTTGGACCCCAGCCAATCTGATAATTTTGATAGAACGGAAAAGCAATAGTCTAATATTAGCAAGTCCCCACAAGGCCCAAATCCATTTGTTTGTTTCTAACC